AACATGATGCTTGATTCCAGTATTTAAATGATAAATAACAGACAAATTAATAGTCTCTCATGTAAATTAAGCTTCAAAGAGCAGAATGAGGGTGAAATGAGAAGTAAACATTTTCTCTGATCATCAGAGTGAGAAAAAAAAAACAAGAAAGTTTTCTTAAGGCAAAGTTATGATAATTGAATAAATTAAACTTACAGTTTTTCAAAAGGTTCAGAAAGTTAAAAGATCTGAACAACCGGCTGAGACACGGCTGAGCTCCACTGGAGTCAGAGCTTCACCTGTGGAGGAGGCGGGTCAAGTGGGAGGGGTCAGAGGCAGGAATCCAGATCTAACCGGTTGATCTTTGTTGTTGTTGTTGTTTTCTGACTAATTACCCTGAGTTCAAATAAACGCTGGTTCTTTTTTACTTTACTATAACTAATTACTTTGAAAAAGTAATTAGTTATAGTAAAGTAGTTACTAGTTACTTCTCCCAAAAAGTAACTGAGTTACTACACAATAAAAGTAACTAATTATTAGTAAAAGTAATTATTGCGTTACTTTTGCGTTTCTCGCCCCATAACCCAGCATGATGGCGTCACCAGACACGTAGCAGCAGGGGGAAAGAGGCCACTCAGCCTGCCAGTGGGAGCCAATGCCAAAGAGAAAGGAGCCAAAGGGCGATTGTTAGCCGGTCGACCCGTGTTTGAAAACCCTGTGTTGACCCGGTATTTTCAGTGAGATAGAGGCTTTAGAAACAGCTCCTGTAGCAGGCTTGGGACCTGTGTACTGACACAGAGTTTTCCTCTTATTATTATTAATTAGATGGAAAGTTAAAAAATATGAAAAATATATGCTTCAAAAATGTTTTCTGGCATCAATATGCTTCAGTGTGATTTTATTTGTCAAATTATTTTGTAAAAGCAATAATAATGATAATAATAATTGAACTTTATTGATCTCACATTGGATAAATTTAGCTCTGCATTTAACCCATCTTCTTGGGGAGCAGTGGGCTGCCATTGTGTAGAGCCCGCCACTCTGTTAAAAAATAAAAAATAAAATAAATTATTTGTTTATACTGAGAAACTATCTCAAAATAATGAGATAGTATCTCATTATTGGGTTACTTTCTCATTATTTTGAGATAGAATCTCCTTATCATGAAATATTTTATTTTATTTTTTTAACAGAGTGGTGAAAACAGGCTTCCGCACGCGTCCATCTGTGGCGTTTTAGGATTTTTTTGTGTTGTCAAAGCTGGGCAACAAACACCAACTGAGTATTATCCTGAGGTGACAGCGTCATGCTGTAGGTAGGCCCTTCCTAAACATTGAAGCTGGTCTGTGTTGATGAGATGACAGATGGATAAATACAGGTCAAGCCATTAAGAAAACTGTTGAAGGACTAGAGCAGAGGCTGGGGAGGAGTTTCCCCTTCCAGCAGGACAAAAAAGCCTGTTTATAAAACCAGCTTTGAAACCAGAGTCTGTCCCACAGTATATACTGATTTGGTGGCCCTCAAACAGTTAGAAAGGAACACATTTAGCCTCCAGAAACAGACTGTTTTAGATGTACAGAGGTTTTAGAGCAACATTTTTTTACTAATAAATTTGAATATTTATAAACTTTTTAATGTCTGTTTTTGTTTTGTTTTTTATAGTAAACAACCCCACAAGTATTAGATGGTTGGATTCAAAAGCAGAGCAGAGCTACCTATTCAGGAAAGCTGCAGTATACAGCAAATATTTCCTAAGAAAGATAATAAGGATTTTCGCTTCCATCAAAATAAAAAAAACATAAAACATACAATGCAGCAATTAAGTTGATCCCTTCCCCTTATCACTGCAACCCCAACCGCTGTATAGTTACACAAAGGACCTCACCTATTCAGCCAGGCCAACAATTTCCTTTAACGACCTCGCTTTCAGAGACATAGACAGGTATGGGGCATTGCAGGCTAACAAAAGAAGCAAAACGAACCCCATTCCAAAGGGGTGGACCTGATCATCTGTTCCAATTTGCATGTTTTCTAAATAAAAACAAGGCTTTGTTGGGCTTCTACTGTTGAGTGTGGCCTATTGTGGCCTTACCTTTCTTGTACTTCATACAAAATAGTTATCCTGATCTTATTTGTGCTGCTATATGTTTGGGCTGCTGGAGGACATAGGGACCACTTTTCCTCATTCTCTGCCATTCCATCTCTATTCTCCCAATCTGCACTATTTGTCAAGCTCAATTCATAATGTCATGCTCTCTCTGCTTTTTCTAGTCATAGTCAACCCAGTCTCATGGGAAAATGTACCCCCACTACGTTGGTCCACACTGCAAAACGTAGTGGCTGGGTTGCGGGTTGTCATAGTAGCTTCATCTGATTTGTTCCTATTCAGCTGTGACTCCATCCTGGAGAGAAATATCAGCTGTGCTGCTGCCATCAACACCTCTGTTTATAGAAATTGGATCTTGGCCTGTTTCCTGATTCTTTCACTATGACTAGCAGAATAGGTTCATAGCTTGTCTGCCTTGCTGTGTCTTTCCTGAACAGGCCACTTGTGGAGCTAGTTAAAAGTTACCTATTTTATTTCTCAATATACAATCAGGCATCTACATTCCTCAGGTTTTCTTTTTTTATTAAATAAATACAAAAAATACAATAAAATTCTTGCCTGCAGACAGCTGGAGACACCAGCAACCCTCGTAACCCCACTTGGCATTAACCCTGTCAGAAAATGGATGGATGGAATACAATCAAATGTAAGAACAAGGAAAACACAAGTTAGCAGAATAAACAGAATGAGTAAAAGTGTTGGGAAACACCAGTGATCAAATTAGACAGGATTATCCTTATTGATGATGCGTCTGTTAAACCCTAATAATGCATGCCTGTGAGTCAGAACTAATGTTTTTCCCAATAGTTGTATCTATTTAGGACAGTTCCTCTGTCAGGATATACAGTTATCATTTTCATTATGTAGGTGGCAAAGAGTTTGGAATAGAATGAGAGCAGCGTCCGCGATCTAAGAACAAAGTGTAATATTTTGATAAAGCTGAAGCCATGTCTGAAGCCATTGCAGCCTGGAGTTCTATAAAAAGTTTCTCTGACTGTGATTTAGGGCCACTCCAACCAGATGTGAGCCCTGTTGGTAAGCAGCTGCCTTCTGTAACTCTAAGCAACTTCTCTGATCTAAGTAAGATTATCATTTGTGTCCAAATCTGTTGTTATGTCTCCTGGTTATTTAATACATCATGAAGTGTTATTTAAGGAGTTTATCCCAAGTGACCTCTTTTTGTGAAAAGAATTGGAGAGAGAAAGCTTCAAAGTGGAAACACAGAGCTTTCAATAAAAAATGACATATACTTGCTAGCAACTTTAATAAGATTAACTACTTTCTTACTCTTGATATATTTAATAACCCAGCAAGGGCCATCTGCTAAAGATGACTCAGGTAGGAGGGAATGGTACACTGGAAAAACGGTCTAGAAATAAGTAGAAATTTCTTAAATTAAGTGTATTTACCCTTATTTTGAGTAGGTTAATGAGATAAAATTTGTATTTTTACTCTTAAAATAAGATATTTAGATAAAATGCACTTAAAATAAGACAATACAATTGCGTTTTCTTATTTTAAATGTAAATTGTTTTGTATCATTGGCAACAGCTCCCTTTTAATTTCTCAATTCAAGAACAAATGCACTTATTTTAAGAAAAAAATTACTTATCTAGATTTAGATTTTTTTCCAGTGTAGTGAGCAGTTGTCTTTTAAGTGGAAACTTTTAGAGGGGAGCTTGGTTTAAATGTTAAAACACCCCCCAGCAAAGAATGAAATAATGATATTTAAAAAAGCTCCAAGAATTTTATATATATATTTTATAAGAAGTTTTTTGAGAATTCTAGACTAAATATGAAGTGAAATGTGGATAAAATCTTTGATTATTCAGGAGAGTATTGAAACAACCCTAATTGTATACATCTATAGAGATCCTATTGGCCCTTTGCATTCATTTATTTAATCTCCCTTTGGGATGAATGAAGTATTTTTGAATTAAATTTGTATTTTTCAACAAGAGAAATTTAAAATGAAATAATATTTATTACTAAACCCTATGGATCAAATTTAAAAAGCCAAAAAAAAGATCAAAAGAGCTGTAAAGTTTGGCCTCGACTGAACTTGCAATTAATTCTTTAAAAAAATGGAGGATATTTTTATTAATAAGCCTCATATTAAACAAGAACACTCCCTCCTTTTAATCAAAGGGTGTCACGATTTAAATCTTGTATATCACTATTAAAAGAGAAAACAAATACTCATAAACAAGTTTATAAAAATAAAAAAAAGAAAACAAAAGGATGTATTCTACAAAACATTGTTTTTAACTCCTTTATGTTTCTGTATGTCTGGTTTACAGAAAAACTTTAAAACATCTGCACAATAAAACATACAAAATCAATAAATATACATATATCTCAGGATTAGTGTTTCCTTCCCACAGCTGAGATTAATATTCACATTAGCAATGCTGATGTGAATATTAATTTTATTATATTGCACCTTACAGTTAGTCTAAAATCTGATGCTCATGTTTGTAGTGTACAGCTGTTATAAACCTGCTATTAAACAATGTTGCTAAACTGCATCACAGTCTTCTGCATTATATAAAGTTCTAATGCTACACAACCTTTAGTCTAGATTAACTCATCAGATCTACTTCTTATTCAAACTTAAAATGTTTTTTATGCAAATATAAAGCTGTAACAGTTTAATTAAACAAGATTGTACTGATCCATTAATAATGAATATTGAAACCCTTTCTCTTTCTCACTCAAGTTAGTGCTCAGTGCTCGATAGGGGACCTGGTAGTGACATGACCCCGCCTCCTGCTGATAGAGAAATGTAATGCCCTGCAACAGAGACATCAGTCACTCAGCATCCTGGACCTTATGTTGCGTTTTGCAGCTTCACCAGGGTTGAACTCGGGGGAACACAGACACAGAGGCAAACTCTTTCTTTTGCCCTATTGGCATATTTATTCACCAGACCCTCAGAAAACCATGTGCTCAAAACAGAGAACAGGAGCTGGTCAACAGAAAAAAAAAATGCATTGGCGCCCTTCTTGCCAGTCTAACAGGAACACATTGTGGCAAAACTACAAACTGCACTTCATAACAGTCACATAAACACACATCTTATAACAACTGAGTACACAGAAATAAGTCTCTAAACACAAGTCTATGAGCATGGATTACAAATATATAATTACGGATCTCATGTTTATGAGTAAATATCTGACACGACCGCCGCCTCCTTCGGATGGGGCTACTTTTGCTTTTCTTTTGTCCCCAAACCGGGAATTCCTTGTTGAATGGATCAGCGATAGTCTGCAGCATCTTTGCAGCTTCCCTCTAAAGGCATTTAAACCGGTCCATTACTGATGAGAAAACTATCAACTCTTTCTCCTGCTGCTCTCTGGAGGCCAGGAAGTTCTCCACCTGGGGAAGGAGTAACAGACTGCTTTATGACAGACAGACAGACACACAGATACTCTGGGTTGTAAAAATGCCAAGGCTCACACAGGAAGCACGTTGCTGGCATCTAGTGGTCGAGGTAATGCCTAATTTTCCTTATTTGCAGATTAAATACCCATGTCTCTATTGTCCTTTATGAACCATTGGAAGTTAACTTTCTTGGCTTTCTTCCACTTTTTTTAGTCTTAACAGACCAAAATGTTCTATAAAAGATGTGGAAGTTAATGGTGAACCCCAAACTTCATAACAGAGTGTTAGATCGTCTGCAAGGAGAAGGGGGGGGTGTTTGAACCGTAGGATAGAAGACGCTAACGGAGCAAGCAGATGACTGTGGCGAGGATTGTGGGTAAACAGCAAGATGTAGCCGATGGAAGATCCTGAACTCCAGGAGTAGTTCTTCTCCTCGTGTCTCCCAGATCTATGCTCATCATCTTCTGGAATAGAAAGGCCACTGGACCTCAGTACTGCTGGAGCTGCTGACACGTTCCTACCTCCATCAGAGACTCTTTGATCTGGAGGGCCACGTTGTATTCCTCGGCGTTCATGTCATCCAACAGCCTGCAGAAGGACAGCGGCCCCAGAGGCTTCAGAGAGCGGTCCGCCTGGAAACAAAAACATTCAGAATGTCTGGAAGCTTAGATCGTTAGGCTTTTTCATAAAACGGGTCTCCTGTTTTTCTTCACAGATTAATCCAAATGCTTTTTCAGGAAACTTGTTGCATGTGAAACATTTTATGACAAATAAAATAATGCCTTGGATTAGCTTTAATGCAAAACTAATCTTGTTAACTAATCTGATGGATTTCATGTTATTATTTTTAGTATTTTTCCTGGTTTTATGCAGATATCTCTGCAGGAAGCCTGAGGGTGGCAGCGTGGATGCCAGGGAAATCTGAAGAATGCAAGAGAGACCGGACCTCTTTTTTTGGTGACCAAGCAGAATTTCAGGTCTCTGCATTGGTTAGGAACCACCCAGAACTAGAATGAAATATGCTGACTCATGATGGACCAGAAAGGAAATGATGCAGAGGGGATGGTGTGGGCTGTGCCAGACAGCACAGGGGCCACAGCAGGGCCATGCCATCTTAGGACCACGCTTCGCCATGAGCTGTACCTGGAACTCGGAGCACAGGTCAGGAGGTATGGGAAAGTTTTTGTTTATTCTTCTGATGCGCCTTGCTGAAGGGATAGTGTAGTGGTCCATGAGGTGATAGGTCAACAGGATCCAATCTGGCAGCAGAAACACCCGCTGGGCCACGTGGTCGTTGGCTGGTTTGGATTGGTTCCTATGGAAACGCTCCACCACTTTCTGAAAGGGATGAGAAATATGAGCCCATGCATCAACCCAAAGGTGGAAACAATTACAGCAGACGGCCCAAGTTCTATAGAACCAGACGGGAAGATGCAAGTCCATGAAGAGGCAGGTCAGCCAGCCTTCCTACCAGCACACCAAGGTCCTCCAGCGGGGTTCCCGGATGATCGGCTTTCAAAGGCTGATCGTCAAGCCTGAAGGTGACGCGTCTGAAATACAGGAAGTCACTTCGGTCCAAAAAGGTTTCCTCAAGGAACTGTGGCGATAACACTCTTTGCCTCAGACCAGGTAACCCTTTGTAGGTTTCAAACCGCATCATCCGTTCAATACCAGAACTCACTGGTTTCCACCTATGAACTGAACAGAGCAGAACCAGAATTAGAACCAGATCATTTTGTGAGAACAGAAGAACCTGACAGGAATAGTCCTAAAAAGCACAAACAGGATTAAATTGGAGGCAAATGGACCTATGTTTTTTTAAGACGTTTTGAAATCTCAGGTGTTAAGGTGCCAAAAAACTGAGCCAAGTCCGGTTGTCTCCAACTTGAGCCTGTTTGTGGTTGCCGTGACCCGGATGACTGAGAATTTACACCAGCATTCCTGAAAAGCTTTCTGATTGTGATTGTGTCCTGGAGCCAAACAGAAGAGCCTGAACATCAGAAGACAGTCAGAGTTTGATCTGATGAAGCACCCAGCAGGGTTCAGCATAGGCCAGGACTATGACTTCAGACCAGACTTGGTTTCGTCAGAAAGGATTGGTGACATGACTTGGAAGTGACTCGATGCTCCCTTCAAAACAAAGTTACTAAGCATAACAATAAGGAAAAATACCGATCCACATTGTTTCTTTGCTCATGACACCATTTCAGGAAAGGCTTATTCTGCCTCTTAGATTTGGACCCAAGATTCTGCAGCTAACTGAAACGGCTTGTTTAAAAACCACTGTGCCCAATTCAGCAAACTCTGCTGTGACTTGATGTAAACCTATTGCATGATAATAGCCTCACAACCATCATTTGAAGAAATTAATTCTGATGATTTGTGTTCTTGATTATTAAATGATTAAGAAACTCTCAAAAATCAAATCCATATCAAATTATACAAATTATTAACTGTTTGATATCAGCGGTAACCACCGCCATGTTTGACTGTATGAAGTAAGCAGACATGCTGAATGACGACAGTGCTCTAAGAGTGCTTTGGTGATGGTTCGGAGATTTAACACACTAGAACCAGAATGTTCCACTCAAACCCAAGCATGATCTGCTTCTGCTTTGCTCACAGAAGAGAAATCAGTCCATTCGGTCTATAGTTCTCGTTCAGGAGAAGACTTACATAAAAGGGTCCCAATTCCTCGAGATCTGAAGCGCTCAGTAGTCACGTTCTCCACCTTGTTAATTTCTCTCTCCTCCAAATAATCACTTCTGTTTTTGTACCACTCTTTGACCCTGGTGACCTCTGTGCCTGAAACATAGGATCATAGATGTTGGCAGAAGGAACAAACTCTGAACATTAAATTGTTCCTGTCTGACTAACAGTCCAGGTCTTTGTATGTTGTTAATCTGCGGATGAGGCCATCTTTGGTCACAGTTGGTGAAAACCTCTCCAGCTTTGCCCTCCTGAAGCGCGTCTCCTTCTTTCCCCCTGGAAACCTTTTCTTCAAGTCTGAATGACAGCAGGACAGGTATTTGAGGTTTGGAAAACTTCTAGAAATAAAATAATTAATCATTCATGCTTCTGCATTTACCTTCACGTGAGATGTTGATGTAGCTGACCCAAGAGCTGTGGAGGACAAACTTCCTGGGAATAATGCCCTATTAAACAAGAGTTTACAGTTAATGGATGAATGGATGGTGGATGGATGAATGCATGGATGGGTGGATGGATGATGGGTGGATGGATGGGTTGGTGATGGTTGATTGAAGTTGTGTGACGGTTGATTGGAGGTTGGATGGTATTGGATGATAATTAAATGAAGCTGGGTGATGGTTGGGTGATATCAGATGATTGTTGTATGATGGTTGTATGATATTGGATGATTGTTGAATAAAGTTGGATAATGGTTAGATGATGTAGGATGAGTGTAAGATGATAGTTGGATGGCGGTTGGATGACCTGCATCAATTGGGCCATTCCCTTTGAACCTTCTTTTTCCCTTCTCAGGGCCAGTTTTTCCAGTTGCTGTTGGCTGATTGCACCTTCTAAGACCTTCTCCCAGAGATTGCGGTCTTCAAAGTTGAAGCACACATCCTGCTGACGGCAGAAGCATCCTGATCAGAGGGCTGATGTTCTATCTGGACCGGTTCTGACCGGGATCAGCTGCTGTGGACTCACCTTGCAGCTATCGATGCACCGCTGCCTGTTAATATAGCAGTTGTAGTTGTCCCATACGCTCTCTATGGACTGGAAGTTCTTGTCGTTTGTGGGAAAACTGCTTCCTGTGAGGGGGTCGATGAAGAAGTTCTCCTCGATGTCGTGTTTTCCCGACAGAACCAGAACCCAGCAGTGAATCCGAAGTCCTTCCAGGGGGTCAGGAAGACGTCGACTTTCAATCTGCTGAGAAGAAGTCAGACGGGAACCACCTGACATAAAACAGGAAGCTGTTTGCTAACTTCCCTCTATGGAGCAAAAAGCTCCAACCCAACCTGGACCGAGAGGACCACCTCAATAACTGCACCAAGCAGCCTCTGACCCTCCAGCTGCCCAGAGGAGCTCTGTGAGGCAGGCTCCTGCATATTACTGGACATTAACATTTCATGATGCTAAACTGTGTTGAGTGTTGTTTTTTCTGTTATTTTGAACCTGAGTGGAAGCCTGAATGGAGTGAGAGTGCCACCTGCTGGTGAGCTTTTTCAGCACTTTGGAAACTTCAGAGCAACATCCTTGTGAGTGGCTGCATGTAGCTGGTGCTGACAGTTTCCTTTATGGTTGATGTTCTTTACTGACTTATCATAAGTAATCATTTGTTGTTCATTATGTTACACTAGTTTAATTTGTGTTGCGTAATGATATTTGAATTATTAGACTGTTATTAGTTATTATGCTGCATCCTGTTAGCTGTGTGCATAATGAGGTGTTCCCATTATTTTAATGATGTTTTATGTTTGCTTGGTAACTCTAGTATCTTAGATTTATGATCTGTTATTAGTCACCATTTTGACTTGACATGCTCCTGTTAAACATCTAAGTTGATTTAACTTGTTTGTAAGCCATTCCCATGAGCTGTTTGATAGTTAATAGGCATTTAAAGTGAGTTTATGGCAGCAGATGTCACTGCTGCAATATGTATCCTATGAGAACTCATATGGTTCTGATTCTTCTCTAAGACCTCTAACTGAAGAGCAGAGGCTGCTTCTTCACTCAGTACAGAAAAAGGATCAATCTGAATCAGGTGGATGTGCTTCACCGCTGGAGCTGGAAGATGATCAGATGATCTCTGAACCTTTGCTTATTTGCACCACAGTTTTCTTTACCTCCTGTAGCTCCTTCTGAAGCAAAGCTGTTGTAGCTCCTTCAGCAGCTTCCTGTTCCTGCCTCTCCTGCTCCATCAGAGAGGCAGTTCCGAGCTCCCCCAGAAGCCTGACCATGTCTTTCTGCTGCTGTCTCTGCTCAGAGGTTTCTTCCTGGACCTCCTGCACAGAATCACACAGGTATGCTGTGAGCCTACGATCTCTGAAACCAACAGAATGGAGCCCAAAAACCCAACTTCACCTCCGTGTCCAACAGGGGGCACTGCTGCAGGCTCTGGTCCAGCAGGCACATCTCTCTGGAGGTGTAGCCGCTGACGCAGTAGGCGTGGTAGTTCCGGGCCAGCAGCATGCTGCAGAGCAGGGTGGAGGATTCGAAACAGGTGGCCTTCTGATTGCTCAACACATATGTGGGGGAGAACAGCTGTCTGGGCTGCAACGAGAGGTCCGCATGTTAGAATCTGAAGACCCTGCAGGTGTTATCTCAATGTCAGGGTGGAAAGGCTCAACAGTGAGCTTCCACAAAGAACTGATGCTCATCTCAACGTGAGAAGGGTTATGAGGCTGCTCACTATTTAGAGAGATCAGGACTTTTTCTGGTGGATAGTTTAAAGCCAGCTGGTGATTAAGGAGTGAATGTCCCTGAAAGGTCAGAGGTCAGAGCAGGCAGTGCTCAGAAGGACGACAGACCAACCAGGAGATGATGGCAGCAATCAGCTCCGACCAATGACCTGCTAACAGCTGATGGTCAAACGGTGTAAAAACTACAATCAAAATGTCTGCTGGTATCAGTCGTGTGATTGGCTGCTGGCTACAACACCCAGCTGTCAGGTGGAAGACCCTCCCCTTATTTCATTCTCTATGTGCCGCAGAACAGAAACACACTGTCCCACAGCATAATACCCCCACCGCCATGTTTGGCACAGTTTGAGTCCTCCAAACATTCTTCTTCTTGATCTTGTGGCGCTCTCGCTCAGTCTCTGCCTGCTCAGACAGGGAAGGTTTCTGTGTATGACATCCAGCTCAGCCATGAGAACAGTTGCTGTTTCAGTTGAAGCTGAAGCTGCTGACGTCATTGCTCTGCTCTCCCAGCCTTATGCAGGAGCTGGTTGGCGTCCTTATGATACTGTATGGAGCCAAGAAACTGAAGCAGAAGCTTAACTCTGTTCTTGTTATCCTTCCAGACAGGAGGAGAGTTCAGTCAAAGCATCCAGGTTCATTCCTGTGTCACACTGACTGCGTATAGAGAGGGTCCAACTGGGCAGGGTGGGCAGATCTGAGCAGATTTTTTTTTTTACTTCTGTCTCTGTGCTATACACCCATTGGTTAATTAAACTAAAAAAAATACAGCAGTGGTGCATTTTATAAAGCAAAGCTCAACTTAACGAGTCTGTGCAGCATCTCAAACCAGAACAGATAGAGAATGTTCATATATTAAAATCATAATGAGATCTAGGGCTAAAGAAAAGAAAAACCCAGCGATAAACACGGTGGGATGGTTTCTATGCTGACTGAGGCAGAGAGGTGATTCTCAGAGAGAGATCTGGGAAGTTTTTCTTTCTTTTTTTTCATAAAGAGGTTAGAGAGATACGCTGCGCTTACCTGCTCTGCCTGCCCCTCAAAGAGAGTCACTACTTTATCTCTTTTCAGTCTCCCTGATCTCCTATCATGGGTTTAGTTTTCTATTTTAATGTTTCATTCACTATTTTTACACCAGTCTTTCCTGCTTACTAACACAATGTGTGACTTTAAGCTGACTCTTTCCCCAGCAGATTAACAGATTTTACTTTGTATTTTCCCCCAAATTGGTTGAATTTTACTTTGTAACCACATCTCTCCTCCTGTCAGTCAGACCCATGAAATTGCTGCTGAGTTGCTGCATAGTCAGACTAAAAGAGACCTGGGCTCTCTCTTAGTCGCGCTGCGTAGCCCCTGCAGGAAAAAACATCCCTTTTGAATTTCAATGAGCACTAAAAGCCACGACCTCTGAGGCACGATTTTCTGTTGGATCGGATGCAAAATCGGATTCAGTGTTTTGGCCTTAGCTATGTCCGAAGCAAGAACTGTTTGTCTGACGGTTTTTAATTCTGACTGAATGATGATACATGAGAAGCGATGGTGCAAGGTGCTGCTCCATACTGACCAACTCAGTCGGCGGCTCCAGAGGCCGCAGGGACAGGAAGTCGGCTACGAACGAGGAACAGTCCTGCCAGTAGAAGAGGTCACCAAGGTTCGAGGCTACAGGCTGAACCGTGGTGGATATGAACTTCTGAAAGGAAGACAGAATCCAGAGGAATCAGACCGGGAGCGGGGGGCAAAGGTCAAACAGGGAGGGCTCATCCTTACCCTGACGCCACACTCATTGACGGGGCAGAGCAGCAGAGGTTTACTATCAGGATGCAGGAGCACATACTGCTGATGGAAGTTGTCTGCGGTTTCCAGCAGCTGCTCTTCCTTTGGGGAGTTGATCCTGCAGGATTCAGGCCTGCAGAAGGACAAAAAGAGGCCACTGATCAAACACGGTAAAATGCTTCCAGAGTGAAACCAAACTTTCTGTCCCTGTTATCGTCACATCAACACACCCTGAAGATCTACTGGTCAGTGAGAGAAAAAATCAAATCCTCTAGATGGACCTAAGGTTAACATCTCCTTTGATCAAAAGACGCTGCAGCCGCTGTGACCAGCGATGGACTAAACTGCTGTTGGTCTATGTGATGTACATCTATACCTGCCTCATCTTAAACAGACTCTGAACATCAGATAATGGTCATTGCAGGAGTTACTCTGAAGGCTCACATGAGCTCCTCTGAAAGCTGCAGCTTGCTGAGATCCTCCTGCAGCTTCTCCATCTGCCTGCCTGCTCCAGTTGCCTCCATGGATAATAGCTGGAATCTTAGGGGTCTGCAGAGGTTCCACATCACAAACCCAGAAAAAAACAAAGCAGATTGTTACATCAATGATCCTTTTCTCTTTAATGTAGCTTTGAACAAGACAGAAGCAGCTTAACCCATAGAACTACAGCTAATAGAACACACTTCAGTCTCTATATCTCCTTATCGGACTGAGGGGAACATTTTATTATTGAATTATCTACAGAGGTGTCAAGTAACAAAGTACAAATACTTCATTCCTTTACTGAAGTATAAATATTGGCCGTCTATACTTTACTAAAGTAATTCTTTTTCAGGCAACTTTTTACTCTACTCATTACATCTTTTAGCTAAAAACTAATAAAATGAAGTCTAAGAAAGCTATCATCCAGAATTGTAGAAAACCTTTTCCTTTAATAGTGTAGTGCAGGAAAGTTTCTGTCTTTAACATTTTATCCTGTTAAAGACGATTTGAAGGACGGGTCCGATGTATCCTCGGTATCCTTGGTTTACCCAGGATTCATTGCGAGACCAAGCAAGCCGGCTGCTCCCTGATCAGAGGAAAGGTTACTTGGCGCCGAACAGTGGTGAAAAGTTCAGTTTAACCAAATACAAGTCAGTGAATAGCTCCGTCTGAGATGAATGAAAATAGTTGTTTTAATGGTTATTGAGTCAGATATGTGGCGGTAATGTTTGATTTATCTAAAGGTTTTTATCTGTTACTGTGTAAATGGGTTTGGCTGGAATTTAAGGACAAATCTGATAGGATTTTAATTGTTTTATTGCTGTTTTGCACAATATGCTTAACTACCTATTTTTTGTTGTTGAATATTAGAAATTTTGCAGATATATTTTTTATTCATACACTGTTTAGATTTAGTTATATCTTTCTACCCCTATTATAGAATAGAAAATCCGTTTATTGTCCCACAATGTGCAAATTTACAGCAGCAGAAACATTATTGAAATGGTCACACAAATGAGGACCTTGAAAAATGTATAACAATGACATATAGGGAAGAGTAAAAAAAAAAAAAAAACAATACAATTCTGTAAAGAGCTTTAACAATATAAAACTGGAGAATTAATAACCAATATGCAGCTATGGACATTTTTACAGTAATGGATATTTGAAAATAGCAGCAACATCAGAGATGTGCGTGATGACAGCAGCAGGTTATTTAACTGACTAAGGTTTCTATCATTACATTTGATTTGATTTGTTCCTGCTCCCTGTGGATGGAACCTTTATTCCACTCTTGATTCTTGTTAATGTAGTCTTTGTTCACTTTATAATAAAAAAGAAATAAATAAACAAACAGTTTAGAAAACTTCGGTTTTCATTCTTTTTCTGCTTTGTGTGTCAACTTCACGGTTGCTAAGCAACAGAGCTTACGGCGTTAAAACCCGCCGAGGGTATACCTGTTCGAATTCACAGCCAAAACTCTTCCGGTCTCCTTATGTTCAAGGACTTCGAAGGATCCAGTCTAGGTAGACTGCGTCCTTGGAGGATGCAGCCCAGGTTTTCCAACTTGTCTCGGAGCAGAATCAGTCCTGCTGTGACACTACAGTGCGCATGCGCCGTGCTACCGCTTCAAAATGCTAAATTTTTTGAGTAACGTTTATCCAGTATTTGTAGGTTTATCTTCATACAACTTGTACATATTTAAATAGTTTAAGAAAATTCTAAGTAAAATTTACTCTTCTTCCAAAAATAATGTATTACATTAAAAAAAGGTTTAATTTTACTTCAGAAACTCTAGTTCTTACAGAAGCTTAAAAATTCTAATTAGAAATTATTACAAATACTTTTCACTACAACTCGAATAACTTCACCTGTTAGTTAAAAAAGTAGATCTAGTTAGAGTTAAACATGATGAAGTACCCCTTACCTGCTCCAAAAGCCGTCAGTGTCTCTATAAAATGAAGGAAAGTGAACTGCTACTTCTCTGTATCCATGGTAACGGAAGTCCTTTAACTGACACAATAATACCGGTTAATACCGGTTTAAAAGCTAAATAAACCCATTTGAATGTTTTCTTATATTCTTTAACGTGTTCTCAAAATTAAGCCAGAGGTTTTACAAAGCAACATTTTCAAACGGAAAATCTATTTTAGGTTTAATATAGTTATTTGTTTTTTCTTTCAGGACACGCTAATCACTTCAAAATTTTTTTTTAAGTTGCAAATTACAAAATATTAACATAACATATCTCAAGAAATAGAACAGTATCTCCATAATATGTGTTCAATGATGGAGTGCAAATACAGTTAAGATATGACATACTTTAACTTAAATAAATAACAAAAGAGATTTAAACAAAGACAAAAAAACAAAAGACAAAAAAAAAAAAGAAAAAGGGCCGAGATATTTTATGTTTCTCCAAATATTTCCCGAATTACATTAACAGTGTAAATACATTTTTGATTGTTGATTCTCTGGATACAAATCATGTAATTTTTTAATCATTTTCAAACACAGGGAAGAAAGGTCGACCTTTGGAAAATTTGGTTTTGTGTCTATGGAATTTTGCAATTAGAATAATCAAGTTAACCATAAATTGCATTTTCCTATCGTTATTAGTATAGTGTAAGATAATACGGTATCTTTGACTTGTAGTTTAATTGGTCTGTTAGAGTGTGATATGATGTAAACCTCAACTTCTGTCCAGAATATCTGTGAAAATTTACATTCAAAAAATAGATGATTAATCGTTTCTTCCTCAGTATTACAGAATACACAGTTGACATCGATATTGACAAATTTGGCTAAAACACATTAGTAGGGAATCACTTCAACAGTTATTTACCTAGGGTGTCACTTAGTGATGAAAGTTGGTGGGGACCTATAGTTACTCCACCCGAACGCTTTCATTAGGTTTTTTTATTTTCCAAAAATTAGCTTAAACATTTATTTATTTATTGAATGCTTTTCTTATTGTTGAAAGCACAAGAGAACCACAATACACTAATATTTATGTTTATAGATAGTTATACAGATGCCTTTTAGTGCATTTATATATATAAGGCCTACCCACATTAGCAGAGGTGTCAAGTAACAAAGTACAAATACTTTGTTACTGTACTTAAGTACACTTTTTAGGTATCTATAATTTACTCCATTACTTATTTTTCTTCCTACTTCTGACTTCTACTCATTACATTTTCACACAAGTATCTGTACTTTCTACTCCTTACATTTTTAAAACAAAAGTTACTCATTACTCTTGGCTTCGGTTTAATGTTTATAAATATTTATTTCACATCATGTGCGTCATCCAATGTAGATCATTAAACCATCCACATCTAGTGAAAACTAGTGTAATTAGATGAGTCATATAACGCAAACACTCATTGGTTAGCTAAAGGAAATCATCAGAATTAAGCAGGTGTTCTTCAAACTGCAAACGTGAATAGTCTATGCAATGCTACAATGTAGGATTCAGAAAAAGATGTTGAAATGTCTGAAAGGTCGGACACAGGCCAGAGCGTATCTGGAGACGGAGACCAACAAGACCTCCCTCATCCTTGGCCCTATCTCAAAGAATTTTTCAAAATAGTGAAAAATTGAGCTTTCAATTCATATAGTGGCATCAGGTTATTTTTTTTTTAAAGGTTACTTTATACTTTTATACTTTAAGACGTTTTTGGAGCACATACTTTTTCACTTTTAATTGAGTACGGAGGTCAAGTTGATACTTCAACTTTTACCAGAGTGTTTTTAAACTGCAGTATCTATACTTACTATCTACTTAAGTAACAAATGTGTGTACTTTTGACAGCACTGCATATTAATATATAAGGAAATTATGAATAACAGCCGATTCCATCCATCCCGAAAAAAATGGATGGTTTCCCTTTAAGCTGCATCAGTGATCATCCTCCTTCACGAGCAGCAAAATCCAATTTAGAAATTTTTCCTACATATCTTTAATAGCTGAAGTCTATGTATTAATAGATATGATCTCTCTTTTTAATTTTCATCAGAACTCTGGCTGCAGCATTTTGGATCAGCTTAAGGCTTTAAACTGCAGTTTGTGGACTTCCTGATAGTAAAGAATTACACTAGTCCAGCCTTGAAGTAATAAATGCATGGACTAGTTTCTCAGCATCACCCCTGGACAGGATATTTCTCATTTTTGCAATATTCTGCAGATGAAAGAAGGAAATAATGGTCTCAGCTTAGCGATTGCTTCTCTTGAAAGAGACCTCAAACTGGACTAGAACTGGTGTAAAGAACACACTGGACTGGGACTGTTACCATTGACCTCTCCCTCACTTCCTCATCCCCAATGGAGACTTGAGGACTTTCAGCTTCTCAGATTATAAGGTCAAAATCTGAAATTCAACATCAAGTTATATTTTTTCAGTTTCAGCTTTTATCTTTTCAGTTTCAACAAAGGTTACAAACATTTTGACCCCTTTATTGCTCCGTAGATAACTTTCACAAAAAAGGGAAAATTTTTACGTTCAGGTCAAAAGAACACTCCAACTCGTTTCTTAGAAAAGAAATACTTTTAATAAAGTTCCCTCAATTTCCAATAAACATACACTATAACGACCAAAAAGGGTCACACAATGCTTAAGATACAGTTTTTCCAGTAATAGAAAAGGCACATTGTTTACTAGGTTTAAAAAAAAAACTCAAAAACACACAAACATATACTTACACACTTCCTGAATCTTTTATTGCCCCAAAGAAAAAAAAATACATATAAGTAGTAACTTCTAAGAAACTGACAAATTTGTAAAAAAAACATGATTGTAACATGATTTTGCAATTGGTCAGTTTTTATTGCATGGGTGGAAATATACTAATATTTTTGTTAAAGTGCTTCAAGCTTTCCTTGAGAAGAAGTGTAATGGGTGCAAAAATACCAACCTGTGTAATCTAAACTAAATACACATATTTCTGTACATCTCTATGCTTTTTTTCCATTTGTCTTTGTATTTCTGAGTTATGCGGGAAGCTGCTTACAGTAGGTTTGATGATGTCTGATTCCCTCGACGTCTGGGGGAATTTCTAAAAGTTACAAAAGAGGCGTCATATCTAGCCTTAGATTTTGCGTTACACATTTGATTGTAAATTTTATATTAGGACTAAAAACTGAAACATGCTTTAGTTTAAAAAAGAACATCATTCCATCATATTCACATATTAGAACAAAATCTACTTCAGTAAACATTCACTGAACTCTCGGACAGTGTTTGCTACCTGGCAGTAAGACCTTACAGCCTCAGCGCACACAGCATTGGCACCGTGTTCCATGTTTAACAAACAACAGGTTGTTTAGCCTCTGTGTACGCCCCCCCCCCCAAAAAAAAAATATATATATATAAGCTTGATTTCTTCCCTTGGAAATGGTCCAAAATAAGGCGCTCAAAGTGCCGAATGGAGCAATCATGTCATCATCTGTGCCATCAGCAAAGAGCTGAAATGATCTGATTCCTGCTGAGGAGCATCTAAGCTGTGCTTCCTAAAGAGAAGAGAAAAGCTTTGATGTCAGTTTCTAAAGGATATTTTTATATCTAAAGAAAACATGTTCCAGGACATTTTGGTACAATATACTCTCTTTTTATATTGCCTGTTGTATTTTTATCTTTAACCCTTTATAGGGCACTCAGTGAAATACTTTGAAAATCAAAATTTCAAGCCAATAGTGTTATTGGAATCCAACAAAGGTGCTTCTATAAGAAATTCATGAAAAACTATTTTTATTTTTGGTATTTCACCTTAGAGCAGGGGTCTGCAACTTGCGGCTCCAGAGCCACATGTGGCTCTTTGGATCATCTCCAGCGGCTCTTAAAATGTATATAAAGAGCTAAATAATGTACTATAATGAATACCAGAATTAATGAATGATATTAAAAAGACACAGAAATCTGTTTTAAGAGCAATTTTTCTCTGAATTAATGTAGGAATTATGTGTATTAATATTATTTTAAAATTTCCTTAACCCACTAATAAAAAGAATAAATAGATTTTTTTTTTTTTTGTAAAGTGTTGTTATATTTTGCGGCTCTAAACAACTTCGACTTCGTCGTACTTGAAGCAAAATGGCCCTTTGGATATGAAAGGTTGCAGACCCCTGCCTTAGAGGCATTAATGCTGATACTGACACATTTTTTAGTTTATAAACCTAAATAGAATTGTTAACTAAGCTTATTAACTTTTTAACTTTACAATTAGTTTTTTACCTTTTTTTCTTGACTTGCAAACTTTTTTTCTGCTGAATGTACAGTAGGTAATATATCATTCAAGGGCTCAGCTAATTGTTCAAATGCCAAAATAAGATGTACAGTCATGTAGCAGCATCTTTGCTGAATGGCTGGATATAGATCTTGTGCTTCTAGACCTCATTGAGGGACGGCGGGGACTCCATTTGTCAGGGGTATGCAAGTGATCATAAATGCTAACTTACCCTATAAAGGCTTAATGGCATCTTGCTTTAACTCTCTGTACTCTATATAAGCTACTGGAACCAGAATTTCCCAGAAGTTGTAATCCCAAGGTATAAATAAAATTTAAATAAAACCTTGAAATGCTCAAATAAAACAATCCATAG